CGCCTGGGTTTGTCCCCATCCCCAAGGATGGGGCTGGGCTCTGAGTCAGCAGCCTTACCCAAGACTGGGGCTGGGGCCACAACAGGCCGGCCGCTAAAGGGGGGCGCCTCCCATCGCCACGCCCTACCTTGAGAATGCTTTGGTAACGTTCTTTCATCAGAGGATCAGTGTATTTCTTAAATTGGGCAATTGCTAGTGTTGGGTTAAACTGGGGCCCACCCACTGCTATGATTAGACCCAGCAGCCGGCCCGTTTGTGGCCCACACGTGGGCTGTCCAGTTGGTCTGTGGAGGGCAAGCAGGCCAAGGGGACAGAGACGAGAGGAAAAGTAAAATCTGAAGGCAAAGAAGTCCACTTCCTGGTTCAGTGCCTCCGTTTCTCCAAGGGACAACTCTAAAGGGCCTTTGTTGTTACCATGGCTGCAGCCATGCCCGTGGGGACCAGGGTGGCAAGGTAAGAAGCCAGAGCCCCCAGCTGGCTGCAGAGGAGCCCCCAGCTGATTCCAAGAAGGAACCACTCCAATCAATGTTTCTCTCTCATCAATGTCTCTATCGCTCCATCCCTCTAAAAATCAATAAAAACATACATTCATACAGACACACATAAAAGCCCCAAATAACAAGGGCATGTGACTGTATCCACCATCAGGCTTCAACCCAGAGAAGCCCATCTCCGCCCGTGCCAGGCCCCCTTCCCATCCCCAGATCTTGATTCCTCTGGCCCGAGAGCCCTGAGGGCACGTGCTTTCCCCAGGACGAATGAATGGGCAGGAGCGGGGAAGCTGGGCATCTGCTCTGCCAGGCTCAGGAAACACTCCCCCGCCCGGTGCTCAAGCCTCATAGCAGATGGTATGGGAAGTACGGCTACCCACCCAAGGCCACCCGGCCAGCCAAGGCCACAGGCCGAGCTGGGACAGGACCCCTGGACTGCCTGTGGTACCAGCAGCTGCTCTTTCTACTGGGCCACCAGATGGCGGGGCTCTCACAGCCCGTGACTAGGGCACAGGAAGGGCCCTGGATCTACAGGTTGCTGCTCCACCCACCTCCCTCTTCCCTCTCCTCCCACGGCTGCAGGGGAAGGAGGCTGAGACTACAATCACCTCTTCCTTCTCCTCTGCCTCATGAATTCCCTGCTCCCCTGCCCCCTTGAAGCAGAGACTTCTAAGGAGAAAATAGGGCAGAGGCTCTAACGGGAAATGTAAAGGGAACGGAACATTTCTAGCCGATGCCTTTATTTGAAATAACCTCCACACCAGCAAGGGGCTTCTCCGGAGGGAATGGAAGGGGGCAGCTCATCTCTGCTTCACTTGGACTCATCGCTTCACAGCCGGGATGGTGGGGGGCTACTATGGCTAGAATTTTAAGGAAGATCTGGGCACGTCGCTTAACTTCTGAGAGACTCATTTTCCCAGCTGTCAAACGGGGGTAGCGATAGTTCCCTATCTTATTTGGTTGTGAAGAATAAATAAGGTGACAAGTATAAAAAGCTTTTAAAAACACACACACATTTTTTAAATTGATTTCAGAGAAGAAGGGAGAAGGAGAGAGATAGAAATGTCAATGATGAAAGAGGATCATCATTGACTGGCTGCCTCCTGAAGGCCCCACACTGGGGATGGAGCTCGAAACCGGGGCATGTACCCTGATCTGGAATCGAACCATGACCTCCTGGTTCATAGGTCGATGCTCAACCACTGAGCCATGCCAGCCGGACATAAAATGCTTTTTAGCAGAGTATCTGGTAGGCAGTAAGTATGCCATAAATATTAGGTCTTGTTATAAACAAGCTCGTCACTATTTTTTTTTACTATATATTTTATTGATTTTTTACAGAGAGGAAGAGAGAGGGATAGAGAGTTAGAAACATCGATGAGAGAGACGCATCCATCAGCTGCTTCCTGCACACCCCTTACTGGGGATGTGCCCGCAACCAAGGTACATGCCCTTCACCCGAATCGAACCTGGGACCTTTCAGTCTGCAGGCCAACGCTCTGTCCATTGAGCCAAACCGGTTAGGGCGTCACTATTTTTTTATCAGCCCTAAATTGATTATTTGGCTCATGAGAAGGCAGCGGTACAGAAGACTGGTGCCTCACTCTAGTAGGAGAAACAGAAACCTCCACGCCGGCTGGAGGGGCCAGCTAAAGAAACAGAAGACAGCGACAGCACCAGCACGGAGCCCGCGGTCCAGGAACCGTGGGCCTCTGCCTGGGGTTGGCATCTTTTACTTGCAGCATCCTCAGCTTAACTTCCGGGCGTAGAACATATAGGCCACACTCCTAGACAGGGCTTCAGCCCTAAGCCCCTGCCCTGGGAGCTGTGCTGGACCACAGGCGGTGCCCAAGACTCGCCCTGACCGTCTCCCTCCAAACCCACAGAAGGAAGAACAAGGCCCAGGAAGCCCCTCCAACCTGTTTCCTCCAGGGAGGAGCCTCTTCGTATTTAAAACCATCTCAAGCCACGTGCACTAAGACTACCCCATCTGGTGGTTTGGTTGCTTTTCTACTGCCAAGGTAAGAGGGGGGCTTTTTTAGGTATATTGTTTTTATTTCAGAGAGGAAGGGAGAGAGAGAAACATCAATGATGAGAGAGACTCATTGATGGCTGCTTCCTGCACAGCCCCCCACTGGGGATCGAGCCCACAACCTGGGCATGTGCCCTGACCGGGAATCGAACCATGACCTCCCGGTTTATAGGTCAACACTTCACCAGGGGTCCTCAAACTACGGCTTGCAGGGCCACATGCAAATGCAAATATTGTATTTGTTCCCGTTTTGTGTTTTTACTTCAAAATAAGATATGTGCAGTGTGCATAGGAATTTGTTCATAGTTTTTTTTTAAACTATAGTCCGGCCCTCCAGCGGTCTGAAGGACAGTGAACTGGCCCCCCGTTTAAAAAGTTTGAGGACCCCTGCTTAACACTGACCAACACTGGCCAGGCGGAAAGAGGGAGTTTTAAAG